AAGATGTGAACCTGAATCCTTCGAGGATATTCAGAGTTTACCTGAGGAAGAAGCAGGCAAGTGGCACAGAGCAATGGACAAAGAGATGAAGTCCATGAAAGATCTAGGTGTCAATGTTGAGCGTGCACAGGATGGAAGTTTTTTGCTCAGCCAGAGAGGTAAAATTGAGCAATTGCTTCAGAAAATGAGGATGAGTGATTGTGCAGGAGTGAGAAGTCCTATGGAGACTAGTTTTGTGAAGGATAGCCAGCAAGTAGAACGCGCTGCGTTCGAAAATACTGAAGTGTTTCAGTCAGCTCTAGGGAGTTTGTTGTACTTGTCCCAGTGGAGCAGACCTGATATAGCGTTTGCTGTCAATCTGCTCAGCAGGGAAGCATCAAACCCTAGTGTGCAAGCCTGGAATGGCGTCAAGAGAGTGCTGAGGTATTTGCAGGAGACCAAAGACTTTTGTCTTAGGTTGCCAGCACAAGGAGAAGTCAAACTGACTTGCTTTGTGGACTCGGATTGGGCGAATCTTGAGGATCGCAAGTCTGTGTCTGGCCTAGTGGTGAAGTTTGGGAACTCAGTAGTTGGATGGAGGTCCAAGAAGCAAAGTCTGATAGCGCTCCCATCCACTGAGGCTGAGTTTAGTGTTCTTTCAGAGATGTGCAGAGAAGTAGAGTTCTATGCTTGTTTGGTGCAGGAACTCTGCGAAGTGGATTGTCTGCCGATACGTGTTTTCGAGGACAATCAACCATGCCTGAGTTTGGCAGAGTTAGGTCAGTTCAAGGCCAGAACTAAACACTTAGACATTCGCTTTCGGAATGTGTGCCAGAGCGTTCAGGAGGGATTAGTTGCGCTGAAGTATTGTCCCTCTGCCAAGAACCTAGCTGATGAGTTCACGAAGCCACTCACCTTCCAAAGACATGGGGAGTTTTGTGAAGGTCTGGGTTTGGGATGACCAAGGGTCGATTCTCCCCTCAGGCGCGAGACAAGAGGGGGTGTTGGGTGTAGTGAAGGGTTAACCTGTGTCTCGAGGCTGAGAGGAGGCGCTTACAAGGGAAGTAAGCCAGGACGTGACGAAAGCAGCTTGAAATGCTGTGAGCTGAGTGGAAAGTGAAAGCAGCTTTGCTACACAGCTGCAACTGAGAGAGAGGAACGCAGAGAAAAATGCAGCTACAATCTGATGGTGTTTATGAATTGTAAATATGCTATTTTTGAGCAAATAAAGTGCTATTAGGAAAGAAGAAACGTGTGGGACTGTTTTACTGCCCTTTCATACACGGACGCTGTGCAATTCTGCTAATTGCTTTACGACCTGCAGAGGAGTGCAGGGGAGCGTGCCGGACGCCAAGAATAAAGCAATAAATCTACCTAACATGTTTATCCCACACTTTTTGGTGAATTTCTCTTTCATTATCCTAGCTGCAAGAAGTCCATTTTTTAAAAGTAGATTTGTTGTGTCCGAGTGCTTGAATCCACTGTAATTGTACAAACCTACATCCCTGGAATGTGATTGATTCCCTCCCACAAAATGCTGCCGTTCTGGAGGTGACCCTGCTCTCCTCTTTGACCTGTCAGTCATGGCTCAGGGATAGGTCTGGATGGGGAAGGGGGCTTGCAGTGATTTTTAGGAAGTCATTAGCTTACATCAGGCATTCTGTTGAGAAGACCCAGTTCTCTGAGTACATGTTCTGGAAGTTGGGCAATAGGGGCAGTACAGGATTCCTATTGGTGTACCGACCTCCCCGCTGCACCAAGGATTCCCTGCCGGAGCTGCTTCAAGTCATAGCAGATGTTCTCCTGGAGACACCTAGCTTGATTGTCCTGGGGGATTTTAACATTCATGCTGAGACAACCTTACAAGGGGCAGCTTGGGACTTTGTGGAAAGCATGGCCTCCACGGGGCTGTCCCTGAATAAGTTTGGCCCAACTCATGGTCATGGACATGCCTTAGACCTGGTGTTCACCTCTATGGATGTGAGTGATCTGACAATCAATTATCCTTAATATACTGCATTTTTATATCTTACTTTCACTAATATATGCACTTTCGTGAACCCTGGTTAAAGAACTGCATCACAAAATTTGGGTCAGTGTGAATTTCCAAGGATTAACTGTGTTTTGGTTTGCCTAGCATTTTGAAAAGGGTGGATTTGATAGAAACACATTTAGTTGCGAATTTATTCCCCATCAATACATACAACACAATGCCAGAGATCAAATGCTGAGAAAACTTCTCCAGTATTTGGAGAAGAGAGTGGCAGCAAAACTTCTTTTACTGTTTCATCCTCTGATGTTTATTTTTATCTTTATCTTAAATCATGAAGATGCAAACTTACAAGAAGCTTTTCTCAAGAGGCAAAGGCCCTGAAAACATTGCCAAGGGTATTTTCCTGAAAGGCTCTATAATGAGAAGGCATTTTGCCCAGAAGACTTCCTAGAATTTGCAGCAGAAAATCTGTTATTAAGGGAAATCTTCCATGGAGGCATTTATCGTAAGTACCATAATTTACTACAGTGGTACCTCTGGTTAAGAACTTAATTCATTCTGGAGGTCCGTTCTTAACCTGAAACTGTTCTTAACCTGAAGCGCCACTTTAGCTAATGGGGCCTCCTGCTGCCGCTGCGCCGCCGGAGCATGATTTCTGTTCTCATCCTGAAGCAAAGTTCTTAACCCGAGGTACTATTTCTGGGTTAGCGGAGTCTGTAAGCTGAAGCGTCTGTAACCTGAAGCGTCTGTAACCCGAGGTACCACTGTATATGAAACAGGATTTTCAATTTTGTAGTTGAAATGTGAAAGATGGTTGAATCCTGACAAGACAGAAGTACTGTTTTTGGGGGACAGGAGGCGGGCAGGTGTGGAAGACTCCCTGGTCCTGAATGGGGTAACTGTGCCCCTGAAGAACCAGGTGCGCAGCCTGGGAGTCATTCTGGACTCACAGCTGTCCATGGAGGCACAGGTCAATTCTGTGTTCAGGGCAGCTGTTTAACAGCTGCATCTGGTACGCAGGATGAGACCCCAGCTGCCCCCAGCTTGTCTTGCAAGAGTGGTGCATACTCTGGTTATCTCCCGCTTGGACTCCTGCCATGCGCTCTATGTGGGGCTACCTTGGAAAGTGACCCAGAAACTACAACTAATCCAGAATGCAGCAGCTAGACTGGTGACTGGGAGCAGCCTCCGAGACCACATACCGTATTTTTTGCTCTATAAGACTCACCTTTTCCCTCCTAAAAAGTAAGGGGAAATGTGTGTGCGTCTTATGGAGCGAATGCAGGCTGCGCAGCTATCCCAGAAGCCAGAACAGCAAGAGGGATTGCTGCTTTCACTGCACAGCGATCCCTCTTGCTGTTCTGGCTTCTGAGATTCAGAATTTTTTTTCTTGTTTTCCTCCTCCAAAAACTAGGTGCGTCTTGTGGTCTGGTGCGTCTTATAGAGCGAAAAATACGGTAACACCAGTCCTGAAAGACCTACATTGGCTCCTAGGACGTTTCCGAGCACAATTCAAAGTGTTGGTGCTGACTTTTAAAGCCTTAAATGGCCTCGGCCCAGTATACCTGAAGGAGCGTCTCCACCCCCATCATTCTGCCTGGACACTGAGGTCCAGCACTGAGGGCCTTCTGGTGGTTCCCTCATTGCGAGAGGCGAAGTTACAGGGAACAGGGCAGATGGCCTTCTTGGTAGTGGCGCCTGCCCTGTGGAACGCCCTCCCATCAGATGTCAAAGAAATAAACAACTACAGTGGTGCCTCGCAAGACGAAAAGAATCCGTTCCGCGAGTCTCTTCGTCTTGCGGATTTTTTCGTCTTGCGAAGCAAGCCCATTAGAGGTTTAGCGCTTAGCGCTACAGTATTAGCTGATAAGCGGCTTAGTATCAGCTGTTAAGCGGCTTAAAGATCAGCTGATAAGCGGCTTAGCATCAGCTGTTAAGCGGCTTAAAGATCAGCTGATAAACGGTTTAGCATCAGCTGTTAAGCGGCTTAAAGATCAGCTGATAAGCGGCTTAGCATCAGCTGTTAAGCGGCTTAAAGATCAGCTGATAAGCGGCTTAGCCATCAGCTGATAAGCGGTTTAGCAGCTTGGGAAAAGGGGGGGGGAGGGAAAAAACCCTGCAGGAACTCGCAAGACATTTTCGTCTTGCGAAGCAAGCACATAGGAAATTCGTTTTGCGAAGCACCTCCAAAATGGAAAACCCTTTCGTCTAGCGGGTTTTCCGTCTTGCGAGGCATTCGTCTTGCGGGGCACCACTGTATCTGACTTTTAGAAGACATCTGAAGGCAGCCCTGTTTAGGGAAGTTTTTAATATTTGATGAATTATTGTATTTTAATCTTTTGTTGGAAGCCGCCCAGGGTGGCTGGGGAAACCCAGCCAGTTGGGCGGGGTATAAATAATATATTATTATTATTTCTCAAGAATTGGTAATAATCTGCCTATTCGGTTCTCAGTCAACTTGACAAATGTTGTGCAACATTCATGATTCTCTCCCCACCCCCATCCTAATTTGCAATTAATAACACACTACTCAACCTCTTATATATGAAACAATGCTTATACGAATATGGAGGTAAAAGCTCTAGACTTTTGGCAAACAGATGTTAAAAAAATAAATCTATATCAGGGGTACACAGTATTCAAAAAAGCAATGGCACCAAAACATTCTCTCCTAAAGACATCTACTCAGCCTTTTATTATAATTTTTTGTTGTTGATTTTTTCTTTACTTGTTGGCACCTGTCTGTCTCAGGAGACAATGGAGGAATGTCCCTTGGGAAGTAAAGGCAAACTGCTGGAAGGTTGCAGAGCCTGCTGTGGCTGTAGAGACCGAAGAGGGAGAGACATGTCTTGTTGCAGCTGGGGCAGAGGAAGGCGTCCAGTTGTGCTGCCGCAGATGTTGCAGATGCACCATGGCCTTTCTTCTCTACTCTCCTCTCAGTTGTCACTAAGTTTCCCAAAGAAACATCACACACTTTTCTCTCTCTCTTGGAGCGGAAGAATCTTCTCAGAAGTCGTGGAGAATGGGGCTGTCATATACCCAGGGTGTTCTTTATTTTGCTGTGGGTCCCATCCCCCCTTTTAACTTTAAAACAAGGATCCTGCCCCGCTCACAGTGGGGCAAAGGCCCCCTCGGCCACTTCCCATTGCCTTTGCTTCCCACAATGGCGCAAGAGTGGTTCCGTGTCACATTATGCTGCTCCCACAGCATTTCAGAAAGCACCAGCGGTGGAGAAGGCTGTGAGCTTAAGAGAGAGCAGAAAAACACAACCACAGGGTCAATAAGCAGCAGTCCCTGCCTGTAACTATTTCAGATAATCTTTCCGTTTCTATTGATTTTGGTGGGGCTTCAGTCCACCCCAAACCAACCTGGAAGTGGCTAAAAAGGGAATTTGCAGAACGTTAGGCAAAGTTCTTACTTTTTAATGAAGAAACAATCACTTTTCAGATAGAACTAATTTCCATGAAAAACCAACCTTTGCTCAACTGTAGGTTATTACTTCTTTATCTGATATCCAGAAACTGCTGGAGTTGGAACAAGGAACCTTCACCACCGAGGAAATGCTTTATTACAAAGGAATGCTTTGTGGCCCAGTGCATTGTGCGCAGAAGTCCTTCCAGGAGGCAGCAAAAATAACAGTATATCATGAGAGAATGGAATAACCTGAGTTGCCCTCAAAAAAGTTTTTTTCACCACATGGGGCTACAATATTTCTTCAGCATATGCTGTTTCTTACAACATAATAAGCTATTCTCAGCTTTCTACTACCTCAGATTTCTAGGACCTCAAATTGTGACCTATGAACCACTGGGGATCTATAAGTTACACTCAGGTGATCCATGGAAGATTGTGGATCATTCAAAGATACCTGAGCTTAGCCTTGCATTTGATTTATGTTTTCTGATGAATCAGATGAGGGCTGTGTTTGACTAGGCACGATTACTGAGCAGGCTAAAAAGGCCTTTGAGGCCTCTGGTTTTCATATGTATTTTGTGCTTTCATTTTGTATTTTTATGCTGTAAATGGCCCTGTGATCTTAGGATGAAGGGCAGTATGTACATTTTAAATAACAACAACAACAGCAACAACAACATTTTTTTTCTTCATCCATCACATCTGAAAGGCAAGTCTGCAGTTATTAAAATATGAGTTATGTATGAACATTCATTTGTACACATGTGTATTAAGATGTCCCCCAAGATGCGCAGCAATTTTCAAGAGGTCTGCATAAGAACTGCTGCTCTATTGATTGACGCTGCCCCCCACCAATTTCTTTTTTGTTATTACACAAAGATCAGGTTATTAAGCATCTCTTTCATCACGACAAAAATCACAGGTAGATAAATGCACAAGATGTAGAACACTGAAGCAGCTCTAGGTGACTAGCTTCTTCTCTGATATACAAACAGTAAATTGTCTTACCTATAAAAGGAAATATTTTCCCTGTGGTGATTTTCCATTTGATTTATATTCATTATTGCAAAGCCAACTCAAGTACAATGCAAACTAGTGTCACAAGAACATTCAGCAGCTAAGAGGCGAAGAAAGGGATCACTATGGCAGAGGAGGGAGTGTTGTCCGGAAGAGCTGCGTGGGTGTCACAATATGCAGCGCTTGTCGCAATGACGCTGCCAAGAAGTTAAAGGATCTGAAAGCATGCCCTCTCCCCAACCCTCCATGTTGTTAGAATTCCTGATCTATGATTGCAGTCATAGGATTGTTGTCTAGCACATGACGGTGTAGGTTTTGACTCCTCTGAGTGGGAAGTGACGGAGACAGGATGTTTGTGTTACTGTGTTCCATGAAGTGGGACTATTGTCCTTTGTTCTTTCTCTCTTTGCTGTCTGGTGCTAGAGAGAGAGGGAGCCATGTTCAGGCAGAAGAAAACTTTTGAAGCTCCCGACCAGGAGGGAGAGAACATGCCAGTTGGGCATGTGTCTCTGCCAGGGTCCTACTCAAGTGTAGGCTAAACTCCTGACACATGTGTATCTCCTCTCCCAATGAGCAACTACATCAACCATCCTCTTCTGCTGGTGGAACCATCACTAGAAGTGCTGTATGATTAAAAACCAGGGACTAAACTGCCTAACACCACAATCCTTTTCAGAAATGTCAACTTTGTTTTTGAATACTTGTGTGGATACAGTGGTACCTTGGTTCTCAAACGCCTTGGTACTCAAACAACTTGGAACCCAAACACTGCAAACCCAGAAGTAAGTGTTCCAGTTTGCAAACTTTTTTCGGAAGCCGAACATGCTCCATTTTGAGTGCCATGCTTCTGTTTTGAATGTTACACTGAGGTCTGCCTGTTTTTGCTATTTATTTTGCGTTTTTGCGGCTTTTTTGCTTTGTTTTTGTGACTGTGTGGAACCCAGTTCAGCTGCTGATTGATTGTGTGACTACAGTACATTGTTTATTGCTTTCATTTTATGGATCAATGGTCTTGTTAGACAGTAAAATTCATGTTTAATTGCTGTTTTAGGGGTTGTTTTTAAGAGTCTGGAACGGATTAATCCATTTTGCATTACTTTCTATGGGAAAGCGCACCTTGATTTTGGAACACTTTGGTTTTGGAACGGACTTCCGAAATGGATTAAGTTTGAGAACCAAGGTACCACTATACTCCTTTTCACTTTCTCCATGTTCAGCCCAATACATTTTGGCACCGGAGGTGAATCACAAAGTGGCACCCCCACCCTGACCAGGAAAGAAGGGGGGGGTGAAGATCTGCATCAGCAGTAAAGGGGGAACAAAGATCTACACCGGGAACAAGGGGGGGCAGAGGTGCCTCCTACTTGCCAAGAGGCCACTGTAGAGGTGGAAAGGGAGGGCACTGCCAAGGAGGGGGCAGATCTGACTTTCAAGGAGCATGCCACTGCTGTTGCTGCTACGGCAGCAGGAGCTGCAGCAGTGGGCAATTTGTTCTGTGGATCCTGCTGCCTGAGGCGATCACCTCCCCTTGCCTTATAGGTTGGCCAGCCCTGACTTTGTCCATAGATGTGGGCAGGCAGAAAGTGCATCCAGTAGGCTTGCACTGAACCAAGTTGCATATCTGAGCTCACCCGTGGTGCTCCACACCCATGTTTAGATCATGGCTATAAAGCAATGATAGGGACTGACAGGCACTCAAGGCATCATGCAGGTAAATTTTTATTTCATTCCCTTTTTTTGTTGAAGGTGTTATACATTACCCCTTCTCTCGCACATTTTTTCTTTACAACAATCCTGTGAGGTAGGTTAGGCTGAGAGGTTGCAATTGGCTCAAGGTGACGGATGTAAATGTGTATATGATGTATATGTGTGCAGGAAATCATACAGGGGAGAATCTTTAAAATGTAGAATAGAATGTCCCTATTTCCACTGGATGATTGTTGGAGGATATGGGATGCTAGGACTTGACTGAAGCCTTTCATGAGTTGAGACCACCCCTAGGCTCTGCCCTGTCCTTGAGGAGTCCATAAAACTCAGGCCTCTGGCTTCAAGAGTCCCCTCCAGGCTCATCACCTGCTTTGACAGAATGATGTGGGTGTGGTGATCCCTGGCATGTAGTGGGTCAGGACCTGAGGCTGTGGACTCTGGAAAGCCTGATTCAGGAGTCCCTAGACCAGTGGTTTTCAGCCAGTTTGCTATGACACCCTGGGGTGCTGTGGGCAACCCTGGCCTCTGTCCCTCTTTCCTTCCCTCCCTCCTCTGAGGCTCTCTTGCGTCTCTGCCCCCCAAAGGCTGGCACAGCTGTTTGAGGCAGCATTGGAGTAAGCCAGCAAGGAGGTGAGGGAGCCCAGCCAGCCAGTCCACTAACCCTTGCTGTTGGAAATGGGCAGACAAGTGGGAGGCTGGGCAGGCAGGCAGGCGCTGCCCTGGCCTTCCTGGTGCTTGCTGTGTGCAAGGCTTGCCTGGGAGGTGAGTGCCTGGTGCCGAAGGGGAGCCTTTCCACCATGCAGGCCCAGCCCAGCAGCGCCTGCTGCTGCCTCTGCTGCCTCCCAAGGTGAGCAAGGGGCCACCGTCTTCCCAGGCAGTGTGAGGAAGCACCTCTCTTTTTGGCAGGGGGGCAGCTCAGAGACCGGGGGGTGGCAGAGGCTGCTCAGAGGACACCCAAGGAGAGGGGAGAGGGGAGGAGGCTGGGGAAACCCTCCATGAGAGAAGGTGTTCAAAAAAGGGTGAGAGAATGCCAGCTCGGCAGACAAGGGGGGACATAACTGGGCTCCTGAGGCTTGGGGGGCATTTCCCCACAGGGGAGCCGCAGAAAAAATGTAGTTGGCCAAAAGGGTTGAGAACCTCTGCCCTAGATCTGGGGCCCCAATCCTACTAGCACTAGCTCAGCCGTCTCCTCAGCCATGTCAGAATCAGAGCCCAGAGTGCTGCTCAGGGTGACGTTCCTGGCACAATGCCCCCTTCACAACCCTCCTCCATTAATTTTGGGTGTTGACTGCACAAGAAAGGTAGGGAGAAGAGATGGAATCCCAATGGCTCCCCATCAGGTACACACTGAACGTCCGATATTTGGACACAGCGGTCAAGTAACATTGTCAGTAGGGATACAGGAGAGCAAAGAACACAATTTGAACTATTAAGGGGCTAGCTTGTCTTCTCCTTCCCTCAACTTGAATTGTTTACACCTTTTCAGAGGAAATTCATCAGATTCTCCCATCTTTTATGTGCAGGGATGCATTTCCTCCCATTTGGGCTCTGCCTCTGCCTTATGCGTCCTCCTTCCTTCCCTGTGAGTCACTGATCAAAGCTACACAGTGAGCCATTTCCTCAAGCCAGCTTTCATCTCTTCCCTAGCGCTATGGTACCATTGGAAATGTGGTTACCTGGCAACAGTAATGCTGATTTTTGCTGTAAATATTGCCCCCCTCCCTCCTTGCCCCAAGCAGCGGAGCCCAAAAGGGCCTATTAATAGCAGCACCAGAAGAGGCATCCAACGGAAAACAGATTTCAGATCTTTGTGCCATTTGCTGGACCCTTCTAGAAATAGTTTTTAAACACAGCTGAGTGGAGGACATGATCACTGCCTGTTGACCATTCAGAGCTCCTCGCTTTGGAGAGTTCCGAGACGAGGGGGAAGAGAGGATAAATGGCTGGCTAGACCTAGCCACAAAGATGTGCCCACAGCTATTACCTTCTCAAGATAGGACTATTAATTTTATTTAGTTATTTAAAATATGTTGATTGATTGGTGGTGGCAGTGGTGATGGTAGTAGTTGTTTCTACCAGTGTTTTCGTTTGGCAAGGCGCATGCAAGCCTCCTCACGTTCACGCAGCCAACACGTCTCTGAGGTTCTGCCAGGGGAAACCCTCTTTGGGCGTCACTCCTGTGAAATGAGGGGCAACCAGGGTGAAAGGGGTTGTGGGCTGGCACGTTGAGAGATGGTGCCTGATCCAGGGTTCCGTAGTGAACTTCATAGTTTGAGTAGAAATTCAAATCTCAGTCTTCCTGTTCCAAGTCTAACACCCTAAATCAGAGCTTTCCAAACTGTGTGTCGCAACACGTTAGTGTGTCAGCTGCCGTGTGTAGGTGTGTCAAGTGAACGCTCCCTGCGCTCCTCCCAGGGCTGGGAAGGGGTTGGTTTAAACTCCAGTTTCCTAGTAAAACTGAATTACTGTGTCATGAAGTGATGCATGTCTAAAAAGTGTGTCACCAACATAAAAAGTTTGGAAAACTCTGCTCTAAATGCTTGTCTTGGAAGGCTTGGGGACTCAGCAGTTAGGAAGCTGGGTGTTTTACTGCTGAGCTATGGCCCTTTCCCATTTCAAGCTAAAATACTCTCAGGAGGGGACTTTGCTGAACAAAAGATGCGTGTGTTTACAAATGGATGGGCAAGTTCCTTTCTAACATGGGATCTCTCATCAGGATGCTACGCTGCCAGGAAACAAAGTGGAAGATGACTTTGACTCAGCATTTCTGCTGGGATTTACTCCAGCTTCCGTGGGAACTCCCATATCCCTTTGCTTCTTCCCTTTAACATCCTCCTGGAGGTTAAATCTTTGCGGAGTTTTCTGGAAAGGCTGCTGGCACAGAGCTCCTTGCTACTAACAGCTCATGTCCCTGAACAAGTCAAAGTTTCCACTTCCTTCGTAAATATGCATTCGCCATCGTCCCAGGGGAGCAAACCATTCTCACAAACATGCTTGCTTACGCTAAAGATAGCTAGGCAAAGGCTTCCATGGCTGCCCCCCCCCAATTCCGACAAAAGCAAAAGGGATTATTTTCCCTTGGGAGGTTTGTCCCCTTTTTCTTCCTGCTACATTCCTGATGAAGGGAAATTCAGCCCAACTGTTCAGTCAAGGGAGCCGTGGACTCAAAAAGGTTGAAATCCTCTGCCAGATGGGGATCAAACTTGTGACCCTGGCGTTATCAGCACCGTGCTCGAAGCAACTGAGCTGTTTAACCATGTTCTTGCATTTGATTTTTCTTTTTACGTTTTAAGATAATATTTTGTTTTCCTGTAATCATGCTGCTTCAAATGTGGATCATGATTGTATTTGTATCTGATTCTCATCTGTAGTGTCTGATATATT